CCTTCCATCGCGACCTTCCTTCCAGAGTTCACCCGCACCTCTTCCCCTTCCCTTGTGCTCCATATTCCTCCCCACGACCCATTTCTCTTCCCCTGCCTCCCTTTCTTCCTCCCTCTCTCCCTCCCTCCTTCCCTCCCTCAGGCCTGGTGGCGGCCGGTGAAGACCCGCACGCCTCTGCGCCCATCCAGCAGGCACTGGCCTTCCTCCTGTCTCATCAACGCCCGAACGGGGGATGGGGAGAGAGCTACCTGTCCTGCGTGGACAAAAGCTACCCGGAGGATGGAACGGGCCAGGGGCTGGGGGAGGGCGGGAGTGGGGTGGTGCAGACGGCCTGGGGTCTCTTGGCCTTGATGGCGGGCAAATGCCAGGACAAAGCAGCCTTAGAACGAGGCGTCCGGTTCCTAATGGAAAGACAGGAGGAAGACGGGGACTGGGCGCAAGAAGGGATCACGGGGGTGTTCAATCGGAACTGTGGCATTACCTATACCCAGTACCGGAATATTTTTCCCTTGTGGGCGCTGGGGAGGTACGCACGTGAAGTGAAGGTGTCGAAAGAGTGAAAAAAGGCAAAGGAGCGAGCTTGCGTGTATGGAATGGTGGTGGAGAAAGATCGAGAAAGTGGGGTGCGAGCAAGAGATGGCGTAGTCGCAGCTTCGACATGTCTTGAAAGCAATCTTGCTGAAACGTAAGGAGGGTGGCATGCCCTGGTTGTGTGCAATTTGAAGCAAGCTGCTCCGTGTGAATGAAACAACGAACGCCAACGACAATCGCTAGTGGCCCAGGTGCATGTTTTTTGCCATGTGAAAACGCCTTGTGGGAAACATAAACCACTTCTGTAGGTATGTGCTACACACCATGCCCTCTGTTTACAGTAATAGCCACGACCTCCCGAACAGAGGGTCCTTGTGCTTTTTCCAAAGACAACGCGAAACGTCGGTCAGCCGCTTTCTTTCTTTCTGATCTTTTAGTCTCAGCTGCATGCGTGGGTGTGGCCTCCTGTGGAGACAATTTAGCGAGCTTCCCGTTGCAAAGTGACTTTTATTAGATCCTAGCGGCGAATTCGGAGAGATACGATATGTACACACTACGTCGGTGCCCTCAGGCCCTGCTGCCCCCCCCCCAAAGCTTCACTCTTAGAGGCAGACCACTTTCCCAAAAAGCATGCCACTTGCATAGTACGCTCTCATTCTTGCGCGTGCGCGACGTAGCTTGCGCCTGGGCTGTGTGTCTGTGTCCTTTGTGGTCTCTGGGGGATTGTTGTCGAGGCACCAGGAGGTCGGAGACGGCGAGGTAGCGGCGACTTGGTATGTAAGGACGCGTATAAATTGCTGTCAGATCCGGGGGGGCGCCATTCCTTTGATGCGACGTGGCCATGCATTGGCATATGTCGTAATGTCTGGTGTTTTTGCGAGAGTCTTGGCCTGGTACTCGCGGAACGAAATTGGCACCAATTGTTTTGATAATGGTGTGCTGAAGCACTTCGACGGGGCTGTCTACACTCGGCTTCAGTCCTGCATGTCTCGGACCAAAGATAACATCCTCCAAACCCCACCGCTTGTGTGAAACCCACCGGATGGTCTGATTCCCTTTGTAAGACGTCGGACGTATGAGTTGCCGGTGCGAATGTACGGTATTACCTTGTCCAGACGATTTACGTGCTGAGGAGGGTATCCTTGCTGCCTTGCCCGACTGATGTTCTGTTTACTTCAGCTTGTCGCGCACGCTTCACGTGTTTTAATTCCCATCCCTCGTACAGCGCACACTTCTTAGAAAACTGGCATCGTTGGTGAGCGCCTTGCTGGGAAAGTGTGAGCACTGGGCTCTTTAGTCTACCTCTGTGAAAAACACAGGGGCCGAGATCACGAGGGGGGATGATAAACATCGCGATCGAGGGCTTTGGCATTGTGAGGGAGCCTGGACGCTCCCCCCACCCTGTTTATTACATCACCGTCTCTCAGCCTGCGCATGCAGCGTCTTGGACGGTGTACCGGGGGCTGGCGGCTTTTCGCACCCTCTCGGACGGGCTCCGCGAGCTGATCCCCGGCCTTCGTCCCTGCCCCAACCCACTGCCGGGCTCCGTACAGGTACTTTTATGCTGGGAAAGAGGGAGTCAGAGAGGGTAGTGGGATGGTCAGGGACGATGAACGAAGGAGAGGCACGTCGGGCAGGGTGCGGGCCTGCGGCGTAGGCGATAAAGATCGATGGGAGGGGGGGGTCGGGAGGTAGACGCCACGGTAGGCAAGCCTGTTGTTCTTCGCGCCTTTATTTCCTCTCCCGCGTCGCGTTTCTTGGATATAGGGAATGGCTGGTTTGACCGGCAGCACGGTCGACAATTTGACGGTGCAAGGCTTGCATGGGGGTGCACAGCAACTCCAGGTGGGGAGGGAGGGGAGGAGGGAGGGAGGAGGGAGGGCGGATGGCTGTAGGGGAGAAGCATGGTTATCAGAAATTGCCCACGTCAAGGCGGAGTAAAGTCGTGGTAACTCGTGGTCCCTCCTCCCTCTGGGGCAGGCCTGGCTGCAACACGCCCGTTTGTTCCCCGCAGTGGAGGAGACAAGCGTCTACCGCGCGTTCTGTCTCGATGCGGCCAACGTCCCCCC